GCGAGTAAGTGGAGACGAGCGAGGCAGGCAGGAGCGCCGACGAGCTCTGATCGCAGTGAGACTGGAGCGGAGCTCAACAGGCAGGACTGGAGACAAGTTGTGTATTGAGCGAGGTATCTACAGAGCGAAATACACGATGGCTTACCTGGAGACAAGAGGTCAAAACTAGAGTCTCCAGGTAGCAAGGGATCCAGCTATATACAGGGAACGAACAATGGGCGCTAGAGAACAATAGCGTCGCCATGGGTACGGAGTACAAGGGGTGTAGGACAATAGCGGACGTGGGAACAAAGGGAGCTATTGTCCGTGTGTGGACAAAGGGAAACCGTAGCGAGTAGTGAACAATAAGGAAACGTACGAGGCAGTGGTCCGAATCGAAAAGGAAACATAGCGCCGTGAGGGCGGTTCGTGACAGAACGGAACTATGAGATCTACGACAAGGAGATGCTCGCAATCATTCGTGCCTTGCAGGCATGGCGTCACTACCTCGAAGGTCTCCCCTCCCAGTTTGAGATTGAGTTGGACCACAAGAACCTCGAGTACTGAAGGACGGCACAGAACCTCACTCACAGACAAGCTCGATGGGCTTTGTACCTATCCCGGTTTGACTTTGTCATCACCCACAAGCCTGATATCTCTAACGGACATGCAGACGCAATGTCGAGGCGACCAGACTATTAGCACGGTGATGGTGAAGACAACCTGGCTTGAACAGTACTCCGCCCTGAATAGTTCCATATCCTGATGAGTCGATGAGGACACCTTGCGGTTGTACCGGACAAGACCCTCCTGAAGTGCATCAGGGAGTGTCAGAACTTTGAACCTGCAGTTGTAGAAGCCCTGAAGCATGTGAAGAAGCTCAGACCTGCAGCACTGCGAAATGACCTGGTCGATTGGAACATCGAACAGGATCTCCTCTAGTATTAGGGCAAGATCTACATTCCGAACGGTCAGAAGTTGCGGACTGAGCTGGTACGGCTTCACCATGACTCTCCTCTGGCAGGACACTCTGGAGTTTGGAAGACAGTTGAGCTGCTGTCGCACAACTATTACTGGTACGGCATGGCTCAATTCGTGAAGGACTACGTACGGACTTGCTACACTTGCCATCGAGGGAAGACATTGCGCACGAAACCATATGGACTGCTGCAGCCAAATGAGATCCTGGATGGCCCAATGCGTGTCATGACTATGGACTTCATTGTCGGGCTTCCCAAGGTCACGATGGCTGGAGTCGAGTACAATGCCATTCAGATCATGGCAGACCGGCACAGCAAGATGGTGCACTTCGCTGCAATAGATGAGGAGGTCGACGCTGAAGGAGCTGCATGGAACCTCATCAGCGATCATGTTCGACTGCGTAGAGTCCCACAGAAGATCATCTCAGACCGAGGACCGCAGTTTTCAAGCAAGTTGTTCTGCGCAGTCCTTAAGGGCCTCAGCATCGAGAGTGCACTATCTACAGCATACCACCCTCAGACCGATGGACAGTCCGAACACTGGAACCAGGAGCTGGAAGCATACCTCCGCATGTTCTGTTCTCTGCAATGAGACGATTGGGTCCACTGGCTGCCAATCGCGGAGTTTGCCTTCAACTCATGGGTTCACTCGGCCACTGGCTACTCACCCTTCTTCCTGATGTACGGATACAACCCGGAGTTTCACATTCTGGTTCTCGACACGGAAGTACCAGCAGCTGACGAATGGCGAGAAGAACTACAGAAGGCACAAGAGGACGCGAACGCGGCACTGGATTTGGCAGCCGAGTGCATGAAGGAGCACTTCGACAAACACGTTCAAGAACTACCAACCATTGGAGCTGGACAGAAGGTCTGGCTCGACACCCGCAATCTGCGTATCACGGGGATGCCGCGAAAACTCGTAGATTGGCCGGCTGGACCGTATGTGGTCAAGAAACAGGTCGCACCACTGGCCTACGAGCTGGTACTCCCCAAGGACATGCAAATCCACCCTGTCTTCCATGTCTCACTCCTCACACCCCACCAGCACAGTGATCTCCCAGGCCGTCATCCACCCGAGCCAGCCCCTCTCGAAGTGGAGGGGGAGGAAGAATACAAGGTTGACGAAGTCGTTGACTCAAGACGCTTCGGCCGATGGAAGAAACTCCAGTACCTCATTCACTGGAAAGGCTGGGGTAACGAGCACAACAGCTGGGAACCGGCGGAAAACCTGGTGCGCGCCCCTCAGCTGGTCAAGAAATTCTACGCCAAGTTTCCTTCAAAGCCTCGATCGTGAGGACACGATCCTTTGGAGGGGGGTACTGTCACGAACCGCCCTCACGGCACTACGTTTCCTTTTCGATTCAGACCATTGCCTCATACGTTTCCTTATTGTTCACTACTCGCTACGGTTTCCCTTTGTCCACACACGGACAACAGCTCCCTTTGTCCCTATGACCGCTATTGTCCTACATCCCTTGTACTCCGTACCCATGGCGACGCTATTGTTCTCTAGCGCCCATTGTTCGTTCCTCATATATAGTCGGATCTCTTGCTACCTGGAGACTTTAGTTTCGACCTCTTGTCTCCAGGTAAGCCATCGTGTATTTCGCTCTATAGATACTTCGCTCAATACACAACTTGTCTCCAGTCCTGCCTGTTGAGCTCCGCTCCAGTCTCACTGTGATCAGAGCTCGTCGGCGCTCCTGCCTGCCTCACTCGTCTCCACTTACTCGCTCGACAGTCAGTCGTAACAAGTACGCCCTGGACATCCTCGAGCGGTATGGGTTTGCAAACTGCGACCCTGTGGGCACTCTCATGGATCCTGGCCTTCGCCTCAACACAGATATGGCCCCATCTTCACCCTCTGACATTCGTGAGATGCAAAGCATTCCCTACCATCAAGCGGTGGATTCCCTCTTCTATCTCGCTGTGGCAACTCGCCCAGACATAGCTCGCACTGTGGGCAGGCTCGCATGCTTTTCACAGAACCCTGGCATCACCCACTGGAAAGCAGTCAAGCACCTGTTTCGCTACATCAAGGGCACCCTTGACTACAAGCTCACCTACTCCCCTTTGTCGGACTCAGAGCTCTTCACCTCCTACACGGATGCAGACCATGCAGGCTGCCCAGACACCGGTCGCTCTACCTCTGGCTACTTGATCAAGATGAGCACTAGAGTGATTCCCTGGTCGAGTCGCCTTCAGTCTCTGGTCGCTCTCTCCACTACAGAGGTAGAGTTTGTTGCAGCGGTGTCAGCTGGCCAAGAGGTGCTCTGGTTGCAAAACCTGCTCTCTGAATTTGGCTATGACATCTCCTCTGCCTCCAGGCTTCGCATCAACAATCTCTCTGCTCTCTCTGTGGCGAAGAACTCAGAGCATCATGGGTGGATGAAGCATCTGGATCTGCGCTTCTACTGGCTCAGAGACGAGGTGGCCAAGGGTCGGCTTGAGATTGTGCATCTGCGTACATCTGACATGCCAGCAGACATCCTGACCAAGTCGCTGCCCAAGCCCAAGGTGCTTGAGATGGTGAAGATGCTTAGATTGAGGACTTTATAGATTAGGGGAGAGTGTTGGAGTCGGTGCTGTAGCGCCATCGAATTTAATACCACCAAGTCCTGCTTTGTGCCATACATGGTTTGCGCTGTCCGCTACCTACAGTAATTTTCGTATAGTCACAACTCCCAGTTCAATGGACATATCACATTTCCTTCACTAGTAGTTTCCATTACTGTAGATCTGACTGCACTCTAGACTAGTGTCTACCTTACACATTTCTGGTCTGTTTGGTGCCATTCCAGCGCCACTTAGTGTATGGTCGTGTTAGCTAGTTCCCACGTGCTCTGTGCACCATCATCTGCGCCTGAGTCGACTCTGCAGTCCTTAAGACTTACAGAGCTCGACCTAGGCCATTGTGACCCCTCTGAGGCCCACTGCAGCCAACACACCCAGCAAGCAAGTTGAGCTTGACAAGTTTCTTCAGGAGAATCTGGCCAAAGGTTGCATTCGTGAGTCGAAGTCTCCGATGTCCTCACCCTTCTTTGTCAAAAAGATGGATGGCAGTCTGCAACCGGCCCAAGACTACTGACGACTGAATGCCATCACAGTGAAGAATCAGTACCTGCTCCCGCTCATTGCGGAACTCATGGACCGACTCAAGAACACCAAGATCTACACTGCACTGGACGTCTGCCAGAGCTACAACAGCATCCAGATTAAGACAGGCGACAAATAGAAGGCTACGTTCACTACCAACCAAGGGCTTTTCGAGCCTATGGTCATGTTCTTCGGACTCACCGGCTCCCCAAGCACATTCTCTGTGTTCATGAACGACATCTTCAAGGAACTCATTGTCGAAGGAAAGATCATGGTGTATCTAGATGATATCCTCATCTTTGGTAGCGACCTGTTAGGACTGTGCCGCCGGAGCTCCGGAGTTCTGGAGATCAGAGTCGGAACCGGGCAGACACGGGGGGAGGACTTTGGCGAAGCTATTGGCAATGCCCTGAGGATCCTGAGGATGCCCTTGATTTTGGAGCCGGAGATCAGACGGAGAGCAAACGGAGAGCGGATGGAGAACGGACGGAGACAGAGAGAATAGATTGTCATAAGATAACAGGTAGCGTAACAGACAGGGAGTTGGGTAACGAGATATCTGAACTAAGGAATACTGTACTAAGTCCGGAGGTCTATATACTACGAAGCCGGTGTTCCTTAAGTCCAAATCGGAGATATCGGGGGAGGAGGTCCGACCGGAGTTGGCGGAACACCGACGCTAAGTGGAGCTGTGATGTAAGCGGCGTTAGGTACTGATATAGAAAAATGGACATTCCAGCAGAGACAGGGCAGACACTTGGAAATTCACATAGCCCCTATTGGAGACTGGGAAGGAGACGGAAACCAGTACATAAGTAACTATTCATAAGCAAGTCCGGAGGTCCGACGGAGTTAGTGCGGTGTCCAACGGAGATCCAGAGGGACTTAGGCACGGGGCGTAACAGTATCCCCCCCTTAGAGCCAAGCCCTCGAGGCCTATAGTATCGTGGAGGCCAGAGTCCGGAGTCCGGAACAGATCACGTGCGGAGTTTGGAGAAGTTGAAACGGAGGATGTGGGAAAGGAAATGGAAAAAGAAGCAAGTTTGATCGGCGATGTTTAGGGCAAGCAGAGTCGGGGAGCGGAGGATCTATAAAGGTCGGGGTGCTGCTGGTCTGGTGCTGTAGGCGTCACCTAACCCCACCATACCCGTTACCCCCACATTTTTTCTAACTCGTACACCATGCCCAGAACTCCGCCCATCGAAAAGCAACAACAGCTGCTCGCCCAGCTCACGGCGGTGCTGTTACCGTTGGTACGCCCCACCCCCCATCTTTTTTGTTATTGGACTACTACTCCCCGTCGCCTTCGTGTACGCTCAACCCCCTTCCTCTCCTCAGTGACCTATGCTTACCCTCCCATCTTCCATTGTCCGCCTGTACACTATCATTTCCCATTCCGCCCCCTGACAACTACATTCCCAGACTCAGCTCTCTCCCCTAATCATTTCCCTTTCGTCTACATGACCGGACCCTGAGCCTGAGCCTTTCCCTTTTCGGCTATATTACTTCACCCTGACCCAGACCCCGACCCTGGCCCTGACCCTTTCCCATTTTCGGTTACATGTCCCGACTCTGGCCCAGACTTAGGACTCTACCCTGCCTCTATCCCCTTTCGGTTATATTGCAGGACTCTGACCTAGGCCGTGTGCTATACTGGGCCCAGCCTTGACCAGACGTGTTCCTTTACAGTCTCCTCATACCTCCCCACTTTGGTCGGTTCCCTTCGCCTTCCTAATACAGTCAGTACCCCATAGTATATAAGGAGGCCTGTAGTCGGTAGAGGTCCCCCACTTCTGTTCTCCTCTTTATTACCTCCTATATCCCTATATCACTCAATCTAGGGACTTGTGTGATACTCTCTTCCCCGTGTGCTACACCGTGTACTTGGATAAGTCTGCGTGATAAGTCTGGACAGACTTGTGTTAGTACTTGAGCATAACATTAGAACAGAAGTTCTTCTACCACACCCTAGATAGGACTCATTGTGGCGCGCTTTGTTCGTCAACTTGCAGACCGACTCCGACGAACGCACAACCGTGATGACACTACGGT